GCAGTCGAAGAAACTCATTGAAATGTACGAGAAAGTGACGCCAGCGGTGGATTAATAAGGAGCTGTGTGCCAGGACTGATCCGTGTCTGACTGAGCCATGCGGAAGGAAAGGAAGGCAGGCTGAGTTTCAGTTGCATCAGGGTAGAAGCTGTTGAATAGTTAAATGTTGAACAGGCTACTGAACCGCTGCGACTCTCTGTATTTGCACACTTGAGGGAGAATAATTCTACAAAGAAGAAAACAGAGGAAAGCTTAACACGTGAATCAGGAGAATATAGTGATCTCCCCTCTCTCATGTGACATCTGACAGCGTCTCCAGGCATGAGGCTCTGTCTGTGCCACAGTATGCCTTCGGGTCGGCTTTTGTGCCGTGACCCCCTCCCTGTCTCAACACCACATAGTGAAGTCTTGGCATGGGTTTGCACAGCGGTAGGTCAGGGACACCCAGGGGGCTGCCCTGACCCCTCCACGGTGCACTGCTGCTGAGGAACATGGTCCTGCCTTCACTGCTCAAGTTTCTCAACGTCTTTCTGAACCATTCGACCTTCCCCAAAGCCGCTGATCACTGCTGCCGCCCGTCCTGCTACCCGGCTGCTCTGATGCCGCCCCCACCCGGCATGCCGCTCTCTTGCCGCCGTGGGTGGGAGGCAAGGGAGCACATGCAAAGTGTGCCCACTGAAGAAAGAGAGGTGAGAACGAGAGGGACAACTAAGGGGACTGCGGAAAGGTCTGGAAGAATTAAAAGTGACTTTGTCTGATTGATAAGACTGTTACAGGCACAAGGAGATCGCGTTAGAGGTTTTAGTTACTCATGAGTTATAAGCAGGAATGTTGATTTATTGAAGTTGCCATAATGTGTAGATAGTCTCGTCTTGTTTTTTGTGAACTTAACTGCCCTTGATGGTAGATTTTAAAGTCGTGGACGTTGTCTATAAAGTTAAGCCACAAAGCCTGGAGCCGTTTTAGAACAATTTATGACTGTATGGAGTTGTCAGATGCTACATCAGTTTAAGTGGCTCATGTCGTATTAGAGAAGCATATTTTCTTGTGTGTCTCATCAGAGAATAAGGCTGCTTTGTGTTCTAGTGACCTTTTCATTTATACACTTGATTCTAGTAAATAGATCAAAGCTCACTGATTACGAGTGGAGGCAGCCCATCAGTCTAGTTTGTAGAGAAGCTGATCAGTAAGAAACACAAACCAGGCTTTAAAGTGTTCTGCATGGTCACAAATCAGCAGTATATTCCTTGAAAGAAGAACAGTGTGTAACAGGCAGACTTGACCACTGTGTTGATATCTGTGATGGTGGTGTTGGCTTGTTTTCTGATCTGCAGTCTCTCAAGGCAAAAATAAGTCACTTTATGTTATGTCAAATTAACCAGTGGGACATCGAGGACCAAATACATAGAAGCCATTGCCTGCATGTAATATTTCCAACGACTCAAATTTCACAAAAAAGTATCCTTAATTGATATAAGCTAAAATCATACTTTAATTGATTATTTAAATGGTACGAATTAGGGCTGCTCGATTATGGCAAAAATCATAATCTCGATTATTTGGGTCAATAATTGTAATTGCTTTATTATTAAATTATTAAATGCGATTATTCATTGACTTTGAAAACATCCATTTATTGTACTTTAAAACAAATAATAATTTGAACTTTTTAACTGTTGAATTATACGTTCAGGGTAATCAACTGAAAAACCAATACAAAATAAAATAAATTATACATTCATATCTACATTTAACTAAATAATATCAAAATAATAAATACCAATAAACAAGATCAACAAACATGTTGCACTGCACTGTCACAACCTGAAAACTCCTTAACATATAGCCAACATTTTGGTAAAACATATTCAACATATTCCACTCAGTTAAACATTAAAGGCTGGCCCACCGTCTTGGTCCAGAAGTAACAGGAAATAAATGTTGAACTACAATTTAAGACCAAATACAAATGTTTTGGCCACCAGGGCAAATGCTGGTAGGGCTGCTCATGTCATCTCTTAAAGATGTTTTGCTAGAAACTAGGGCTGCTCGATTGACCCAAATAATCGAGATTATGATTTTTGCCATAATCGAGCAGCCCTAGTTTCTAGCAAAACATCTTTAAGAGATGACATGAGCAGCCCTACCAGCATTTGCCCTGGTGGCCAAAACATTTGTATTTGGTCTTAAANCACACACACACACACACACACACACACACACGCTCTGAGTCTTCAAAGTCAGACTCAGAGCCATCTACTTCTATTCAAACCAGAGCTATGGTTGTCCAGAAACTTAAATTCCTCCAAATTTTCAATAGAGGATTTAATATGTCGTGAGCAATAATTCATGGGAGATGTTATATTTTGAGGGACATTGTTGCCTTACCAACATTTGCAGAAAGAATGTAAATAAAGACATGCCTTACATAACCCTATCCTACACTGATTGCAGAGTACCCAGTGTGCAATATTAATGTGACTTAGCGCAGAGCTATATATACTGTTCCTGTTGCTTTGAAGTTATCAGAGGATGCCATCATTCATTAGTTCAAACTATGGAATCAGGCCACTTGAATAAAAGATGCTGATGTGTAAAGTATGTGCTTAGATTTGTCTCATTAATATGTGTGAACATAAAAATAATTTGTTTGTAAATGTGTGATTTGTAAATGTAAAACACCATCCACAAATGCATTTAAAAGATTTGCTAACTCACAAATAAAAAAAAAGATCTGTGAATATCTCTTTAACATTGACAACTTTTGATCAGGCATTTGTGAATCCATGTTGTATTTGTCAACCAAAAAAGCGCATGTGGATCTCAAGTTTCTGCTTGTGGATTGTCTTTTTACACACACAGAGTTTCGGCCGGTCTCGACTAAAATCTACTCGTGTCACTCGGTTATTTTCGGAAACCACGTGATGACCTGCTGATAACGATATCAAATACAATACCAAATGGTATTATTAAAGGGGAGCAATAATCGACCGAAATAACGTTTCCGAACTTCTTTTGAGGAGTTTATATCAGAACAATAGTAAATGAAGCTTACATATTTAAAAATACAATAAAAAATATGATCACCGTACTTTTTCCAAAGATCAAGAATGAACATCCTTGATTAGTATTAAATAATTTAGATCTCCTGTTAAGGCTCGTTTACAAACCTTGCCTACAGTGTATAAATACTTTAGATAATGAAAAACATAATGTTCTACTCCAATATATGTTGGGAGTAAAAGAAAAATGGAAAAAATTGATGGAACACCATAAATTACAGGAGGCTCTTCCACGATTAAACCACAGAGAGGTTAAGAAGAAAATATACTGTTCGGGATTTGTAAAACAATTTGCTCAATTGCTTTCCATGGATGAATTATCTCACTATCTGTCTAAATAAAAGCTGCATGACCTAGCAATCATGTTCAAACCACTGTTGGACAACTGCTTTGCATATGTGCAGTTATCACACTGATTCACCCATTAATCAGGCATTCAGACACAAAGACACACACACACACACACACACACACACACACACACACACACACACACACACACACACACACACACACACACACACACACACACACACACACACACACATCATTTGGCTCCTCTGGGATTGGCACATGGGTCCAAACTGTGTCTCTTTGTGTCACAGACAGATTGCTTCACTACACACCATTCTAATCCACAAATGACTATCAGAGTCACTGACATCCCAGGAACACTTGGTGCCTATCTCATGAATTTACACGAGCCTGGAAAATCACATTTAGCTTTGTGAGAAACAGAAGCTCCAATGAGCTGTAATGGGAAGAAAAGAGGCAACGACACTGAACTGAAGTGGGTATGAATCAATCAATCAGGGGAGGTAAAGCATGAGGCTGCATTCCAAAAGGCAAATAAAAAATAAATATCGTTATTTATGGGTATGTCAAGGTTTACAGTATATATCAACATAAAACAGGAAGGTCAGAAGGAGAGATAACTGTATATTTCTCCAAAAAAAGAAGAGTTGCATGGAGCTTGGATTTTGAAAACTGCAGAAAAAGGGACCAAAATACTGCATAATGTGCCTTGAGGTCCAATATGTACCTTATTAGGCAAACTGCATTTCTCCTTGGGTTTCTTTTTGGCCAGTGCTGGTTATAAAAACCTCAATTGTTTTCAAGCTCTGACCAAAATGTGACAATTTCTAAAAAAAAATGTATTGCAAATGTAATGAAAACAATTTGATTGGTTCTTAAAATATTCTAATTATACCCAGCGTACTCTTGACCTGTTGTTAACTGTAGCAAAGTTGCATCAATTTGAATATTAGCAATGATTGTAAAGCTCAGTTGCAAAGCTTGTAAAAGCCAACTTTTGGGGCAACCCTTTTTTTATAAATCAAACAGTCGTCTCCACATCCCAATTGTCCTATGTTATCTTCAGAATAACACATTCCACCAATTAAATCTATCATTGGTCTGACTAGCTTTAAGTTATTCTTCAAGTTTTAAAAGATATACAAATGGCAGAACTGAGTTTCAAAAACGTATGAGACAATGTGTTGAGTTTAAATGTAGATAAGATGACTGGAGAATTATTCATTTCCATGTCGAGAAAATGTACTGGAGTGTTCACATTTTATGCACTGCTACTGTTTGGACTCAGATGCAGCAGCAGGACAGAATGTTAAGCTACACCGGTCTACTCAAATGCTACTTACAATCCCAAACACTTTATGTATAAGCTTTATAAATAACTGTCTTATGTTGGATGGGGTATGACATGACAAGACGTCTACTTAAATTAGGATGAACTTTATCTCTATTGTACTTTATACGTAACGATTTAAAGAGGCGCTTTTATGCTTTTGGGGGGTTCCCATTCCTGTAGTGTGTTATACAGGTTTTGTGCAAGTAAATGTACTACAAAGGCTAAAATCCCAAAGTTAAGAACAGAGGGAGTTTCTTTCCAACCCAACAAATATTTGTCAGAAAAGTATAGAATGGTGATTTCAGGAAAACACTGCCACATGTATACAACAATACACAAGCCAGCAGTGGAAAGGCTGTGATGGCACAAAACAAACTGGATATATTTTTGCTGTTTCTCACCCGTCACCTGTCTGCTAATCTTCACATTAACACTTTCCTACCTACACTTTTGGTTTTTTCTTCCCCTGGTTCCTTCTTATTATTTGCACCATAGAACAACAATAGCTGCTGTTGTAGTGGCCACCCTGGCTAAGCTAAGTCAGTTCAATAACATGCTTAATATCACATTTCCTGACATCACAGGTACTTTGACTAACATTCAATTGATGCTTCCTGGTGGTGAAGTCCTATATTTGAAAATCCTAGCACCATCCACAAATGTCATCTCTGTCGGCATCCCCTTAGTTCCTTTACTTCTCTACCCCCATTATCCGTTTTCACCAGGAAATACAGCTCTCTCACTGTTGGGTGACAGAGGTGGGGCGCATATTACGTTTTCCCAGAAGGTTTCTTAAGCTCAGCCAAGCCAGGCTGAGCCAGGAAAACATGCAGAGAAGATATCGTGTGATTTTTGTTTTGTCATTATCAACACCTCCACTTTGGTGAGGGCTAAGCTCCTTGTGATGTTCATACACACATGAATGCACTATTCAAGAATATACAGTGCGCATGCGAGGAAGAAATCCAAAAAGTAATAC